GAGCAAAGTACTTCAAGTCTTGCAAGAAAACAAATTCCAACCCAGACTGATATATCCTGCAAAACTATCTTTCAAATATAATGGAGAAGTGAAATATTTTCATGGCAAAGAATAAATTCACCACTGTATTATTTTAAAGGAAGTTCTCAAAAGTAAGGATTCAGGGGTCGGGGAGATGGCTCAGTGTAATAAGCACTTCCCTGGCAAGCACAAGGGCCTGAGTTCAAACTCCGATTCCTCAAAAAAAAATGTAAGGATTCAGTTAACACCAGGTGAGAAGAATCAAAACAAGCCTTACCTACCAGTGAGTTGTCCACTGAAGGTGAACTAACAAGAATGTATTTAGCTACAATTAACACAAACACACTATGCCAAAAGCTTAACTGGCAAGTATAAATTTGTACTAAGGGTAGAGTGAGAGAAAGCAATGAGCTACTTCTGTAGCATTTCGGTATCCACACAGCTAGGTAGAAACTATTCTCAGGGGCAATGCATACTCCATTAATTACACTAAATGAAGCAGATGTAGTATTCATTTTTCTTTTTATTTTGTTTCACAAGCTTGTTTATTACCATTTTGGCCATTCCATTATACTTTGAAATGATGCCATGTTTGTTCAGTCCAGGAAGCGACAGTAGGAGAGTTACTATCAGGCAGGTGAGAAGCAAGGTATGCACTTGCTATCCCACCCAAGTAACATCAGGAAGAGAAATGATCATGGTCATAAAGTACATTTTCAGCTTTTCTTCCTTTAGTATAAAGAGGTGTTTCCACCAGCCCACAGTTCTGCATCGAGTCTTTACTACATTGCTGCAAATTTCATGGCCTCTTTGCTGTTGTTCAATGGTAATTTCTTAGATCCAAAAATTCTACATGCTAGAATGGGAACAAGGTAATCAGCCAAGCACAAAAACATAACAAAACAGAAAACACTGGACAGAACAAATGGATCTAGATAATAAACAGAAATACCAGAGAGATGACACCCATGATGGCAGGTGAAAACCAGGCCTCCCATCTGAGGACCTTATGGGCATCACTTCCCCATCACTGCAGCTGCTCTTTCAGCCTTGCAGTATCCAAAGCTAGCAGATTGGTAATGCAACTATCACCTTCTGACACCATCCCTGAGAGTCCATCTCAGGTAGGGCAAGCAGCCCCGCAAACCCACCTCCTCTCACTATCTGCACTGCTAACAAAGCCCTTGTTGCTTTTAAGAGATCTTTCCTTTCACGTTCATTAACTACACTGCTGCCTTCAAGGTCTAAAAGTCTATCTTCAGCTTTGTTCAAGAGGTTTTGCCACTTTCAATGGAATTTTTAATTTCCTGGATATTTGTTTGAATCTGTTTCATGCATTCTAATTCTTTCCTGTATTGTTCATTCAGTGTTTCCATCGTTTTTCTATTCTCCTCTATTTTTTTTTAATCTATGTCTTCTTTAGCTGTGCTGAGCAATTCTTTCTCAATTGTTGTCATTTCTTTTTTGACCTGCAAGATTATTTCTGATCTTATTTCTTCTCTAGCCTGATGGGCTTGTTTCTTTACTTCAGTTGCTATCATTTCAGAAATTTCAGGTGTGTGATTTCCAAGTTGTACATCTTTATCTTCCAAATTTGTTCTGAGTGGGCTGGAAGATTAAGACTGCCTTTTGCTCTTGTGTTTTGGCATTTTTGAAGCTCGCAATAATCACCCAGACTTACAAGTGGTGGAAGTGGTGGGGTGTGGGTCAATAAGATTTCTGAAACAGTGGGGAGCAGGGTAGGCTTCACCAATGCTCTCATTACTAGTAGAGGCGAGTGGCCGATACTCAACAAAGCTTCAGTATAAGTGGTGAATGTGAACCAGATTCACCAGGATCCCATGGGTTGCCCAGAATCATCCTAAGCTTTTAAAAGTTTGGACCAGTGCCAGCATAAACTCCATGCCTATATGCTAGGGTCCAAAAGTCAGAGCTTCCCAGAGTCCTGTGGGCTGCTCAGAGTTCTCCAAATTCCTTAAAAGGCTGGACCCTCACCAGCAAAAGCTCCATACCTTCACGCTAGGGGTTAAGGGATACAGCTCACACAAGTGCCGCTGACCACCCAGAGTCCTCCAAAGAACTTAAATGGTTGGAACAGGCACCCAGAAAGCTTGCACCTGCCTGCACTCGGCCCACAGATCATTCGCCAGAGTCTGATGGGCCACCTAGAGTCCTGCTAACTTTTAAAAGGTTGGAGGTGCACCAGCTCACAATAGCTAAAATTAAAGTGGCAACATCTTTGAGGTAAAGATGTGGAGAAACTGCATTATTCACATAAGTCCAGTAAAATACTGCAACTCTTCTGGAAAAAGACCTTGACACTTATAAAACAAAAAACAAAAGTACTAAACATGCAATTACCCTATGATGCAGAAATTTTACAGTTTGATATTTATACCAAAAAAAGAAAAAATCTTTATCTCACAGGAACTTTTCTCTTTGAAAACTGTTCACATAACAACTTGTACACAAAACACACCACAGCTTTATTGTTAACAGCCAAAAATGGAAAAGTCTAGGTGCTTTTCAATTGGCAACTAAACAATTTACATCTTTTTCATTAAATATTACTCAGCAGAAAAAAATAAATACATCTTTGATGTACAAAACAACCTGTAGAAACTTTCGCAGAAGTATGCTGAGTTTAAAAACACAGTGCCAGAAAGTTATATACCACACAGTTCCCTCTGCATAATATTCTCAAAATGAGAAGAGTTTAGGGTTAGAAAACAGGTAAGTGTTTGCCAGGAGTTACAGCCTGGTGGGGAGGGAACAAAGAGAAGCAAAAAGAAGACAAGGTACAGTTACAAAAATTCAAAAAGAAGCATCCTTGGGATAATGGTAGTGTCCTGCTTTGTAACATCTGTGGTGATGGGGACATAAATTTTTATGTGATAAAACTGTGTAGAACTAAATACATACAGACACAAAATATATGTCCACAGAATGTAATACAGATATTAATACAACACAAAAACAAAGAGTCAGGAACTTGTACCAAAACTTTTCATCGTTTATAATAGGATACTCATGCAGATTTTGTAAGGTATCCTTAAGAATGTCAAATGCTACACAGCACTACCATTACTTAAGAAGAAATAAGAAAATTTTCTAGATAATAAAGTTTGGGTCTTAAACTGATTGTGTTTATTATAATCATTTTTAATATGCATCTTTCTAAAATACAGTTTAAATTCCCCTATTTTTCAAGAAAGAATTGAAAATAGTATCTAGCTTTTCCCTATAGACACTGATACAATATGGTGATACGATGAGGGTTCTCTTCGTGTGGAAAGCCATTTACCACCACAGTAAGTAGCCCAAATTCTACTCTCAGCTTGCTGGTACAATTATCATTTTTGTTAGTTTGAAACTTGGCACCTAAAATCTTATGTTAGAGGGGGCTTGCCCATTACCTCAGTTGTTTAAGTGCCTGCTTAAACAACGCAGTCAGGATCAGGATGCTGTGTTTCGATCCATCCCCAGAACTCACACTAGCCACTTGCCCTGAAGGCATTCTGAGACAGCCAAAAAAAAAAAAAATCCTTCTGCCTTTTTAGGAAGGGGAGATGGCTCAGTAGACTAAGCACTTCCCTGGCAAGCGCAGGGTCCTGAGTTCAATCCCCAGACCACCAAAAAAGAAAAAAAGATCTTAGAGCTCAGGGAGACTTCTGTGATCACCTCGTCCAATAATGGTAAGCCTTGTAGAGCTTTCAATGACATAAACAGCCTACTATAGCATAAGTATCATAGGTTTGCCACCAGAGTCGTAATCCTTCATGTTTTACTGATAGTAAAACAGAAGCCCAAAGCAGAGACAAATCTTGCTGTTATGCAAATATGAAAACAAAATTCAGTGAATGCTGTGGCAAGTGGCATGAACATTATACTACTTCCTAATCCACTTCATTCATCAGATCTGGTACCATGTGACATCTGTCTTTCCCCCCAAATCAAAAAATTACCATGAAGGGTAAACATTTTGAATTAATTCAGGACATCAAAGCAGTAAGAACAATGCAACTAAAGACATTCATGGGCTGGTGAGATGGCTCAGTGGTCTAAAGAACCTACTTAGAACAAGCTTAGCAAAGCACAGAGACAGTGGTTCAATCCCCCACCACCACATGCCAGCCAACCCCACCCCCTCCTGGGCTGAGCTGCACCCCCCCCACAAATAATAAAAAATAAAATTAAAAAAATAAATAAATAAAGGCATTCATGAGAAAAGACATCCACAACTGCTTTAGAAAGCGCCAAGAACAATACGAAAATTTTGTTGGAAGTCAACTCGAGCATTTTGAGGGAGATTAGTGGAAATGTGTTTTTTTACTAAATAATTTTTAATTTAAATAGTCACCATATTTTTAGTATGTCATAACTACTCAATTTTATAAATTGAAAATTATAATATTCAATTTAATGCATTTATTCAAGAAGGATAGGGTACTTGAAAGAACAGTGAAGTAGGAATAGAAAACACAAGGGTTTAATATAGAGCTCCACCAAATTCACATAACTTTTGGCAAGTTCCATAAGCTCTGAAATCTAGCAAGGATTCTCTAACTCATACTATCTGCCCTACTCCAAGTTTCAGGATGCTGGGGCTCGATCCCCGTATCCTCATGCCTTACTAGACCTGCCCCAAAGGCATCCTGAGCGAGATGCTACTCTAACACAAGATCAAATGAGAAAATATATTTAAAAGAGTTTGGTAAATTGTTAGGCATTAATGTAAAATGTTATAATCTAAATATAAAAATAGGAAATTTATACTTAAAAACAGCAAGACTTATATAAATTTTTCCTATACCCACCATCACATTCTCATTGTTGGTTGCTTCTGAGCAGACATGAAAAAGAACTCATTAATTTTAGTTTATCCTATACAAACATTTTTCATACCTGGCATAACAAAACACTTCCACATTTTGAATTGTTTTGTTCTTCCTACTAAGAGCAATGGACTCTTCATTTTCAAGGATCTGTTCTTGCAACATGGAACTTTCAATGATGATATCATTATTTTCCTAAGCAATACATACAAAAGAAGTTTACATTAACCTGAGCAAACAGAACTCTTGAAAATTTCTTATGTTTAAACACATAATTTTCCTTCAAAAACATTAAATCTCTGAAAGGTTTATCACTTCTGAGTCACTTAATTAATGCAAACGGTGTGCAAGCTTTAAAGAAAGGAAAGCAGTACGAAAATTCTATGCTATCAAAAACTAGCCATGTTATAAATTTCCATCAAAATTGGTGACATTTTGATAGTAATTTGCAAACAGATGTGTTGATAATGCTTAAGAAACAGGACAACCAACCTTCTAATTGTGAGAAACAAAGATACCAGTGATCAATTTCTTGTTAGTAGAAGTTTTATTTTATTACATTTAGTTGACAAAACAGTGGAGTCAGATGATTTCCTTCACTCAATTTACTTTAGATCTTTGAAGGATAGTAACTAGGCATATCAAATTTTAATGTAAATGAGAATTTTTGAAAAATACTCAGCATAACATAAATAAGGACTCTATAATAACCACTTATGAATACTTTGCATTCAGAAAGGCAGTAAAAACAAGAATATATAATAAACATGCAAATTACTAAGGATTAAGAGTGGTCCCTTAAGATTTTTAGTAATTAGCAACTCATTTCACGGAGAAAATTACATAACATAGCAGTATTTGTATATATGGGATGTTTTTAGATGTCAAGATATGTCTTGCCCAAATGTCCAGGACCAATTTTTTTAATGTGTTTAAAATTTTAAACTGTTTGATACGTATAATCTTCAGAGAAAATATTATTTTTGTACTGAGGATTATACTCAGAACCTTCACATTGAATTATATTCCTAACCCATCATATTTTGAGACAGGGCCCTGCTAAGTCACTATATTGCCCAGGCTAAGATTGAAATTCAGTCCTCCTGCCTTAGCCTCCCAGAGTGGTATGATAACATGTACGTGCCACTATACCTGCCGAGAGAAAGTATTTTTAAAATGTGACATTTCATACATATTAAACAGACTAGGAGTGAAATAAAACTATACTATCACATGTGTACATATCAGAAAATTTCTAAACTTAAACTTTCAAAAGTAGTTCAGTATTTTTAAAAAGTTTTATTGTGTTAAATTGTATATCTTAATCTGAAGAAAAGTAGTGACAGATAGCTCTTATTATAAAGTATGTTACGTAGTATTAGTTATCCTGACAGAAGTAAAAGGGCAGGTAAATTATGACTTCAAATGTGATTTCTAGCCAGAAAAAAAGAATGATAGATTAAGGAGGGAAAGTAAGGGGGCAAGACTATAGTAAAAAAATCAAGATCCTGGAAAAAAAAACAAGCATCAAAACAAAAGGTTCTTCTACAGTATGTTTGTATTTAAATAAATATAACCTACTAAAAATGTTACTTCTAATAATCCTTTTTCTCAAGTTTTTCATTTAGTCAACTGGGGTATTTATCGTTGCTGTAGTTCTTGTTCTGAGACTCTAGTATCCTTTCTCATGGAAATACTAAATATGCATAAATATGAGTTAATTTTCACATGTGTGACAAAGGTGAGGTCCAAAGTAGTTTCTGATCAACTGAAATATATGAGTATTTTAGGCACATACATAAAACAGCCACATGTCTACTTATAGCAATCTTGATTTACATGTAGTTTGAATTTTCATGTAAACATTACTTTATAAATACTGCTTATTTCTCCATGCTCATCTCACAATGCTATTCAGACAGTAACTTCACTGCATCTTGAACCATCAGTCATGTATACCATTAAATCTATGAATACAACTACAATGTACAATAATATGACTGGCATGAAAATGTTTAAAAAACCTTAGCCATCCTATTCTTAGATGAGTATACTATTCTGCAATATATCATTCTTTGATTCATTGATTGATTTAGTCCAGGGTCTCACTACACAGCTCAGATGTATAGTGACCCTCCTATTTGCAACCTCCACAGCAATGGGATTACAGGTGTGCATTAATATACATGGTTTCAGTAGCCAGCAAGGCATGGTATTCCCGGAAACACTGGCATGGCATGCAGTACCGGAGAGTGAACCCAGTACTTAAGCTTGCCAAGCAGGTATTTAGACTGCCAAGCTATCTCTCCAGCCACCATTCCTACTGTCTAAACAGTTGAAATTTTTAAAGAAAGTACTTCGTGATGTCATGTAAGATATTCCCAGCAGGAATTTCATTTCTAGCCACATGTTTCCTTTTATATAAAATTAGAGAACATTTTAAAGGCTGTCTTCAGGCCAGCAAGAAAGCTCAATGGACTAAGTACCTGCTTTGGCATCCCCACCCCATGTGCCATCTGGGCCTGCCCCTGGAACATGCTGAGCAAGAGTCCCAGCATATTGATGTATGCCTGTAATCCCAGAACTGGGGATGCTGATAACAGGAGGGAGGATCACTATGAGTCTGAGCTGTGTAGTAAGACCCTGTACCAAATATATAAAATGAAAAACTACATAAATTAAAAAGTCTGTCTTATAAAAATTGGAAAACTCTAACATAATCAACACTCCACATTATAAAATAAGTGATCTCTAACAGCTTGATGCTCAACAGCTATAGTAATAAGTTCTCACTCTTAGGAACGTTATTGACTTTAATACGTTTCTCCTTTCATTGATTCTCTGAGGTGGCTAGAGGAATATGCAAAAGCCACTGTTGACAGAGACCATTTCAAATGACTGTATATTCCATAAAGAGTGGGGGGGCATTCATTGTTGTTCAAAGTATATTAACTTAAATAGTAATTTGTAATTTGAGAGACTTTATAAAGAATGGGGTACATTTTATGAAAGATGACTGAGTTAAGAAAAAAAAATCTGACATTATATTTACACGTACATGGTAACTATTGAATAGGATCAAGCTTTTATAATTACTCTTCAGCCAACTTAACTAAGTTCTTAAATGGTGCCAGTAAAGCTCCAACTTAACTAACTTTAAAATGTTATACCTATATTATAAAGGCATCAGAAAAAAAGATTAAGGAAGGATTGTGCATGCATTTATCAAATGAGTACATAAAAATAAAATATCAAACCTATATTAATTTGAAGATTAGGACTTTTTCAAAGCAGAGATTATATGACACAAAATATAACTTAGCAAATTAAAAGACCAAGGAAGAACTTTACCTGATATTCATTTATCCAGGAAAGCAGACCTGAGAAGCTAAAACTGGCCCAGTTGCCTCCATAGTAGCTTCTTCTGTTAAAAAAAAAAAAGAGTAAAGGAAACACTATAAAAATAAAACCAGTAATCATCCTCAACCAAATTATACACAACTCTTAAACTCATTTTCTTGTCTAATACTGCTGCCTCAAGAGCTGAAAAATTCAAATAATTGGGGTGTTAACATGAAAGAAATAGGCTGAAATAAAATTGGGACTCTAAGAAAAAGAGAATATTTTTGTTGTACTATGAATTAAAAATGCATTTGGTCTCATTAGAGTTTCCTTTCTTCTTCATGGCACTGAATGGGACAGGTGAATACATATGACTCACTTTAACAAAAAATTTCTAACGATATCCCTAATACAGTTCAAAAACACACACACGTGCACACGCGTTCACGCGCGTGCTAAATTCTGTGTAAACAGTTACACCTGTAATCACACTAACATCCCATGTCAAAAGTAGTCTGTCTCTGTGTCTCTCACTCTCTCTCTCACATATACATATATGCATGCACAATTGATTACATAAGCAGATAAAGCGATTACTGTACATTAAAGAAAAGTAGATCCTGGGACACAGTTACTCTTGTCAAAGTGTGAAAAATTAAGTAGGGAAAAAATTACTTCACATACTTGTTTTAAGCATTATTCTACACTAAACAATCGAGAGATGATCACTTTGTTTTAGATAACTCAGGAGGTCTCCTAAATAAGGCCTGCAACTTTGTCAGATGCTGGACTTAAGCAGAGATTTTTTTGGAAACAAAAATCTAATTTTGGAATGAATGTGGTCTTTGCACTCCTTGCAAACTTATTAATATTTAGGTGGCTGTGTTTGACACTGGATCCCACCTACAACTCATACTCCAATTCTACTTCTAGAAATTCTTTTTGCTTCTTTCATTTTTATACTAGGAATCAAATATAGAAGCTCATGCTGGCCAGGCAGGTTCTATGTCACTGAACAGCACTGAAATTTTTTATTCTATTCCCATTTTCATTTATTTGCTCCTCTCTCATTTTTTTCTTTCTTTTTGTTTATATTTTGGGGAAAGGTCTACATGATGTTCAGGGTCTCACTACCAGATCAGACTCCAAGTGATCCACCTGTTTATAGTCTCCCAAGAGCTGGGATTACAGGCGCAGGCCCCACATCAGTCTCAATCACCATCTCAGCACGCCCCAGGAGCTACAAATGTTGGAGAGGCTGTGGGGAAAAAGAAACCCTTCTCCACTGCTGGTGGGAATGTAGATTGGTGAAACCATTATGGAAATCAGTGTGGAACTCCTTAGAAAACTTGGACTGGAAATCCCATTTAAATGAGCTATTGCCTTACTGGGAATTTTCCCAGAGAAACTGAAAACATCAGAATGATATATGTGCACCTATATTTATAGCAGCACAATTTGTGATAGCCAAATGTTGGAAACAACCAAGATGCCCGTCACCTGAGGGATGGATGAAAAAGATATGGTATTTTTATATAATGAAGTATTACTCAGCTATAAAAAATGATAAACTTGAAGCCTTTATATTTAAGGGGATGCCACTTGAAAATACACTCATAAGTGAAATAAACCAGACCCACATGTGTAATTACCATAGTCTCTGTAGTGTAAGAACTCTAAAGAAGAAAGAAAAAGAGAAAGGTATAACATAATTAAAAGGAAAGTGAAAACTTAAAGATTAAACAATGAAGAGAGGGCCAGGAGAAAAGCTGGGAAACATGACAGGGGCAAAGCCATACATTTATACTCACCAGATGGGTAAGGCAATGATCCTGAGAATCTTTAGCATGTTTTTGAAACTAGCAGTTAATTGGTAGGATTCTCACCCTATATATGCTACCTATATATGCTGCTTACCTTAGAAATATACCTATATATGCTGCTACCTGTGAACTAAGCAAGTGCACTGAAGACAGCAATGTGTAATAGTAGGGTCATGCTTGGAATGTCTGTAATTCTGTTGTTCTAAATACATACTGCTTGTCATGTCATAACAATTACTGCCACACTGTCTCTTAAGTAAATGTTTCTTTAAAATAAGGATTTACTTTCATTAGTAACAAATGAAAACAAGAGACAAGAAAAAAATGTCATAGGACTGTCTTGCTATAATGCTGTACATGGTTAGATTTCTAAATTTCTGTGTAAAAATAAGTAATTTTCTATGCCTAGAAAGCCTTTTCTGCATCAACTGAGATGAGCATGTGGTTTTTAGATCTGGCTCTATTGATATAGTGTATTACATTTATATATTTGCGTATATTGAACCATCCTGGAATCCCTGAGATGAATTTTACCTGGTCATGGTGTATAATCTTCTTGATGATTTGCTATATTGTATTTTCTAGCATTCTGAGGATTTTTTCATCTATGTTCTTGAGAGAGATTGACCTGTACTTCTCTTTTTTACTTGTGTCTTTCCCTGGTTTTGGTATTAGTATAACACTTGGGTCCAGGAATGATTTTGGAAGGATTGCTTCCTTTTCAATATCATTGAAGTGTTTGAAGAGTATAGAGATTTTATCTTCTGTAAATTTCTTGTAGAACTCAGCTGTGAATCCATTAAGTCCTGGACTATTCTTTGTCGGTAGGTTTTTTTATTACATTTCATATTTCATTGGCTGCTTTGGGTTATTGAGAGTTCTTATATCTTCTTGATTCAGTTTTGGTATAGGAATCTGTCCATTTCTTCTGTGTCTTCTATTCTGTGAGAGTAAAGATTCTCAAAGTAACTACTGATGATCTTCTGTATTTCCACTGGGTCTGTGGTAATTACACCCTTTTCATTCCTTATTGATTGTATATGAATTATTTCTTTCTTCTTTTTGATGAGGTTAGCTAGGGGTTATTCAATGTTATTCAGTCTTTCAAAGAATCAGCTTTATGATTTGTTAATTCTTTGAACTGTTTCCTAAGTCTCCAATCAATTAATTTCTGCTCTAATCTTTTATGATTTCTTCCCATCTTTGGGCTCTGGGTTTGGTTTGCTCTTCTTTTTCCAGATGCTGGAGGTGCATCATTAGGGTATTTATTTATTCCCATTCTGTTTTCCTAATGTGTGAGTTCACGGCTATAAATTTCCCTCTGAGAACTGCTTTCATTGCATCCCATAAATTCCAATAAGTTGTGCTTGAATTTTCATTGAATTGTAGACATTGTTAAATTTCTTGTTTAATATCGTCTGTGACCCATTGGTTGCTGAAGAGGGTGTTGTTTAATTTTCATGTATTTATGGGGTTAGAAAAACCAGAAAGGTTTCTTTTGTTGTTTATTTCCAGTTCCATTGCACTGTGGTCAGATAATACGCACGGGATAAATTCTGTTTTCTTGCATATACTTAAGCATCACCTATGGACTAGTATGAGGTCTATATTAGAAAATGACCCATGCAAAGCTGAAAAAAAATGCGTATTCAGCTGTGGTTATGTGGAACACTCTGTATATGTCCACTAAGTCCATTTGTTCCAAGCTCTGGTTCAGTTCTGCTACTTTTTTCCTATTTTTTTGTCTGGTTGACCTATCTTTTTGGGACAAGGGGATGTTGAGGTCTCCTGTTAAGATTGTGGTATTGGATATTAGATTTTTTCATGTCCATCAGCATACTCTACAAGTGGATTTCTCCTGCACCCTATGGGGCACAATTCTATCCTGGTCTACAGGGTGGATAACAAGGAAATATAGTAGCTGAGTCTCACAAGTGACACCTATCCACCAGTAAGCATCATGGGCACTGTCCATATCCACAGCATACTAGAACTTTGTGTGATATCCTATCCCCAAACTGTTAGAAGTGCTGGTCATATATTTGCCATTGCAGTATTTATGTTATGTTTTATTCTTAGTAATTCTTTACTATCATGAAAACCTTTTCTTAATTGAATTGTTTTGAACTATTTAATTT